AGAAGAAGAAGAAGAAGAAGAAGAAGAAGAAGAAGAAGAAGAAGAAGGTGGTGCAAGGGTCCTTGTGGAATGGGCTAATTCATCCAAACCTAGATTTACCAGTGTGCACGTGGGAAAATATGAGCATCTCTCTGAATTCGTGGGTATCCAGCAGATCCCTAAGATCCTCCACCACGACCTTGACCCTTCCAGCAGGGACCTCCAGAGCTCCCCATCATCCTGCCTCCAAATAGGAGTTTGTAGTTCACAGGTTGCTGGGACAAATGCTGAGGCAACAAGTTACTGGCACAGGGAACACATTGCTTCCCAAGGCAGCCATGCTGCCCAAGCTAGAGGGGAGCCCGCGGGCTGGGTGAGTTGAAGCAGATATCAGAAGGGGGCCTCGTGCAAAGCTGCATGGCAGCACTTCTCAAGACACGGCTTGGGGACGCTTCCAAGGACATCTCCGCCAGTGCAGATGTGCGGAGGAAGAACGCCCGACAGTCACTAACATTTGCTGAGCACTAAGGATCTACAAAGCCCTAGATGGAGCTACCATTCCCCTTGACCTCTTTTGAAAGTAGGGGCTTGATACCCTCACATACATCATCACACGTTGCTGGCAAAAAAAAAAAAAAAAATGCTGTAAAGGTTCAGAGGAACAGTGGGCAAGAGCCACAGGTATATGGCTTTCTGCTATGGCTCAACAGGTAAAAATGTTTCTGCCAAACCTGACAGCCTAAGTTCGATCCCTGTGATCTACATGGTGGAAGGAGAGGATTGATTCCCAAAGTTTTCCTCTGACCTCCTCATGTGTGCTACGGCATGAGCATTCCACACGTACACACAAATAAATAAATATAATAAAAATTTTTTAGAGGACAGCCAGGGCTACATATATAGAGAGAGACCCTGTCTAAAAACAAATGTTTAAATTAGGCAAGGAGCCGGGTGGATAAAATAGAACCGTAGCACTCTCCACCTTCAAGGCTGAGCGGCAGTGGTTGGTTCTTTGAAATAAGTCTAATATGTTTCATACTTAAATTTGTACTAAGGAAAGGCATGCATGACAAGTCTCTAAATCGCATCCTGCAATCAGCATCACTGTCCCTGCTCCAGTTTTATAGATGAGCAACCTAAGAGCTAAAGTCCGTCCGGAATTGGAAGCCTCGTCTCCTGGGCAGCATCCTGGAGTGATGGGCCAGCCTGGGCTCAGGCCCACTTCTGGACACCAAGCAAGTCACTCTGCCCGCCGAGACTCATGGGGCTGCTCTAAGGATGCACTCAACTCAGGGTCTAAGTACCTCTTGCAGTACCGGGTCTGGTGATGCCTCTGTCAATTAGCTAGGAGACGGCTGGGTATGCAGATGGCATGTGAACATTACAGCCAGGTGGCCTACTCACAGACTGTGAGGTCTCCAACAAGTGCCTTCTTCCAAAGTATGCTTCCTCCTCAGTAATGAGGATCAATAAAACAGTACTCGTGGGCTGAGGAAGAGGCTCGGTGGTAGAACACTCCCTACCAGGCACAAGAACTGCGTTTGATCTGAGCACTGCAAACAGATGAATGAATGAATGAATGAATGAATGAATGAATGAATGGCAATACTGGGAATGGAGACACACACCTGTAACCCAACAGTTCAAGGGCTACGGTGGGAGGATCATGAGTTCAAATTCAGTCTGAGCTACATAGAGAGACCTATCTCCAACCAAACCAAACCAAATACAACTGGTCTAAGTCAGAAATAGCAATATGGGAAAGACAAAGCAAGAGGGGGAACTATTCCAAATTAAATCAGAATAACCAAGACAGTCATAGTGACACACTAATCCCAGCAGTCGGGATGCAGAGGCAGGCAGATCTCTGTGAATTCGAGACCATCCTAGACTATAAAGCCAGGCCAGCCAGAGCTACATAGTGAGACCTGACTAGCAAAACAGGACAACAAAATTCAATGTAGGATCCTAGATCAGGACCAGAAGGGGGGAAAAAAAGCTACGGAGAACATTCTGAAGAGAGAGGACAACAGCATACGATCTGTCTATTAGAACAGCATCGCTTCTGTGTTAAACATCTTTACTCGGATAATCATGCTATGAGTTATATAAGAGAATGTCTTTTTCCTAGGAAAGACATTCTGGACTTGAGGGGTAAAGGGTCAGTGCCGGGAGCAACCTGGAAGCAAGGCGCCCAGGCAGAGATAAAGCAATGCCAGGAAACTCTAGCAGGTGAGTGTGGGAAAAGGATACATGGGAACATCCTCAGCTTTTCTTTCTTTATTGTTGTGGGGTTGGTAGGTGAGGAGAGAGTTTCATATTGTTCAGGCTGGCCTCAAACTCATTTGGTAGCCGAGGCTGGCTTTGAACTCCTGACCCTCCTGCCTCTAACTCCATAATAGTTTTAGCTCTCAGCTTTTCTTTAAATGGAAAATCATTTCCTTCTAAAGAATTTTGTGAACGGGATGTGCCCCAGCCACTGCTGGAGGACTAGGTGGGTTGAGAGGTTAAGAAGGGTGTTCGGAGCCCCCGGCTGAGCTATGGCGGCCCACCTGCACAATCTCCAGCATCTCCTCCCGGCTGATGTAGCCGTTGCCGTCCAGGTCGTACATGCTGAAGGCCCACATGAGCTTCTGCTCCAGGCGGCCACGCGAGGTCACGCTCAGAGCGATGATGAACTCCCGGAAGTCGATGGTGCCGTCGCTGTTGGTGTCGAAGGTGCGGAAGACGTGCTCGGCGAACTTGGAGGCGTCGCCATAGGGGAAGAAGTTGGCGTAGATCTTCTTGAACTCATCCACGTTGAGGATGCCGGTGGGGCAGTCCTTGAGGAAGCCCTTGTACCACTCCTGCAGCTCCAGCTCCGAGAACTCCGTGTTCTCACGCAGATCCTGCAGCATCTCAGGCCGCAGCTTGCTGTTCTGCTTGCCCATGGCAGACGAGCCAAGTCCCACCTGGGTCCCCCCAAAGGAGGTGAAGGGGCAGAGAGCAATGGTTTTGTCTTTTTGATCACTTGATATCACTCCAGAAGGGCCCTCAGACACAAGACACCCCAAACTCTCACTGACCCAGGAAGAGAGAGGTGGACCCTAGATGGCACAGCCTGTACCCTGCTCTGCGGCATGCTCCTCTGGAGAGCAGACAGGGAAGAAGAGGAAGGGGCTAGCTCACACTCACTGACACCCTTTCTGGCTGTCCGTGCTAATCCTATTCACAAGTACACATTTTCGGCCTCCCGAGGGGAAATCTGGGGATTAAATCCACTTTCCATATGAGCAAGGACGCTCAGAAAATGAGATGATGTGCTTCAGGTCACAAGGCCAGTAGAGGGTGTAGCTGACCCCCAGAGTTTCCTAGAAGGTTCAGAGCAGCTTCTAAGCCTTCTTTGGTACCTGCTGCCCTCTCATAGCTTCCCAGATACCTGCTGAGCCCCGCACAGGTCCTGCAGCACAGACACTGCCAGCTTCTCTTCCTGAAGAAGTGCTCAACAAGAGGCCTGAATCTGGACCCCAGAGCCAGATCACATGAGTTCAAATCCCACCTCTCCCTCTTACCAGCTGCGTGCCTTGGGCGATTTCTTTAAACTCTCTGTCTCAACTGTAAAGTGGGCTTAATGATAGTACTTACTTCATTGGGTTATTGAAGGGATTAAATTAGTTAATACTTGTGAGCACTTAGAACCATGGCTGAGTAGTGCTACATACATGTTAAGTAAGCTAAAATGATTTACATGTCCCCAGACTCCGCCAAACTCAGGCATGATATGCAAGTGCACGTCCCCAGCACACATAGTGCCACACAGGTCACTAAATGCCCTCGCGAGGTTCTACGCCACTCACCTACCATCCTATGCCACACATGGGTCACCATGCCACCACACACAACAATCCCACTGCCCCACAACTCACACGCACTGACACATGACACCACGCACGACTCCCATACACTGCGCATCAAGACACACCAGCCCACGACCCCACATGTCTCACACATGCCATCACACGCCAACTCGCATGCTGACACCTCTCACATGGCCAGCTGCACGTGGGACCTTCAGGTACCCTTCTCATTATCTTTCTATACCTGGGGTGCTGCCAGATCCCAGGAGAGGGAGCTACAGCCCTTCCCAGACCTGCTAAGGACTCTTTTTCTCAGGGAGCCCTACCCAGCCCACCCAAACCTCTCTCAACACTCACCTTTTATCTGGTTTCAAAAGGTTCTCTCGGGGCAGGGATTACAGTGTGAGGCTGAGGACAATCAATGGAGGGGAAGTAGCTGGGCAGTCCTAGGCACAGATGTAGGGGCGTGTGCAATTGACTCCTGAGGTTGGAGATACCAGTGACACAGGGTGACGAGGGTTCCTTGTGCATGGAGGTACATGAAGCTCCGTGCACATGAGTATGGGTGCATGTTGAATGCGTTTGTTCACACATGATGTGGGTCTTGGGTTCTGCACCGCAGAAACCCTGTGCGTTTCTATGCATGTCTGTATGTGAATTCTATATGCATGTTGAGGGATTTTGCACCTGTCACAAGGAGAAGAATGTATCGGGGATCGTGAGGGGACCTGTGTCTGTCCTCAGCAGTGTGTCATGCATGTTCCTGTAAGTTGGTGCCCCCCCTTCCCAGATCAGCCTCTTCTGCCCCAGGCTGAGGAGCCAGAGAACAAGTGTGTGGGAAGGGACTGAGGAAATGCGCAGGGCTGAGCAGGGGAGCATATCCCTTACTCCCCTCCTCAAGGTCCAAGGAACTGGGTCAGCGGGGCGGGGGCAGAGCGAAGCGCCGGGCAGGAGCACTCCTCCAGGTGCCCCTTCCTCTTGGCCACCCTCGGCATTGCCTCTCCAAGCTGGAAGAAGGCTCTGTTTTCTCCGAAAAGACCCCCGGTGCCCAAAATAGGAGGAACCTCACAGCTCGATCCTAGAAACCCGCCCTAGCATCCCCTCTAAACCTCCCCCGGCTCCGGCCCTGAGCCCCCGCCTCCATCCTTCCCGCACTCGGCGCGAGGTCCCTCCTGGAGGGGGTGCCCGGGACGGACTGCGCGCGACTCCCGGGAGCCGGCCACTCGGCGGTCAGGACCCTGGAGAGCGTCGCACGATCCTCC